GCCAGGGCCCGAGGCGGGCGGGCTGCGCTCACGGCGCCGTTGTCCCGTGTGCCGCAGGTCCTCTACCAGGTGCCCCTCAGGGAGAGCCGCGTCGCCAAGAGGAACGTGGGCCAGCAGCTCCGCATCAGGTTCCTCTACGACAGGAGCGTGGAGGAGTAAGTGCCCCTGCCTGCCGCGTCTGAGAGTGCGTGTCCTCCTGCCTGAAAATCCTTTATCTTTATTATTTTGTTTTAAATATAGCTTGCTTCCTGAGAAAAGACACCTTGTTAAGGTACGATATATTTGCTTTGCGGCTTTTATCTTCCCTCCCCTCCTTTTTCTCCTTTTATTTATTTTTTCTCCCTCTTGTGCATATTCTGTCACACGGATGAAGTTTGGGCTTTGCCAGTTTAACTGGGGGCTTTGGACACGAGCTGTTTTGCACCCCTTTAATCAGGGGAGCCGCCTGTCTGTGCAGGGGTTCCTCCCACCGCTCCCAAATACCAGCAAGGTCAAATGTTGTGTAAGAGGTATCTGTTGTGGGCTGATGGCTTTGCTAAGCAATGTGTTTTTAAAGCTTTTTGGTACTCTTGAGCACATTTTAAGTATCTCTCTTTGCTATTTTTGAGGTGTTGGTGTCAGTAAGGAGTAAAAGTCCCGCAGCCAGGCTGTGGGCTGTGTGGAGATGGGAGCTCTGGGGGAATTGGCAACGGATGCTTTCCAGGGGTTAGTAAGTTCAGGGCATATACAGAGCAAATACATCCAGCGTATTTGAAGCTGTGCATCCAAATTATGGCTGGCTTTTTGCTTCTTCTGTAATTCTAATAGCAAAATGTGGAAGTGTAGGAAGTATTTTGTTCTAACATATGTTGACAATAGTTGAACTTATGAAGAAGTCTTAAGCAAGTCTCAGTGTCTGCTACTGAGCTATACCACAGTGTCTAAGAAGCTTCATGTGGCTTGATAGAGTTTGTAAGGTAAGTTATGCCTGTACTGGTACTAGGTGATGTTTATTTTTGTTCCATTTAGAGCAAACTCCTTCCTCAAGCTATTTCTTATTTGGAGAAGACTTTTCAAGTGCGCAAACCTACAGGTACTATATTACTAAGCAGGTATGTGAAAGTTGGTTGAAAATCTCTTCCTCTCTTTGATACTTAAGTTTGCATTGCATAGACAATAAGATAAGACCATAGAAAATTCCCTCTGGGATCAGATGGGTGGCTCACTGGGCCCAATAAGCTCTTTCGGATATGGGTGGCAGGGTATTCTGTTTAGGGAGGATGCACAAACCTGACTGCCTTCTGTGCTCAGTGTCTACAGTAGTGATAGGAGACACTTACCCTGCTTGTTTCCTTTTATTTGTATTTATGAACCAATTCTTAATATATTTCAGACGTGTAGATATTTCTGTAGCAACAGGAAACATTAGGTCTTCTAGTACCCTATAACTAACACTTTTTTTACTGAGAAACTTTCATGTTTGATTGAAGGCAGTGTGCAACAAACCAGTATTTAAGGAAGAAAGCTGACCCTCACAGATACTGCCGAGGAGCCTGTGCAGACCAAACAAGATGTGGGCCAGTTATAGTTCCTGAGAAGCATCTCCAGGTAAGCTAAGCCTTCGAAGTTAGTCTGCTCGCTGTGCATGCCTTGTTCATGGAAGATCGCTGGGTTTGAGCAGCCGACCTTGATTTAGTGGGGAGTTCTCAGTTTATGCTACTGAACAAAAAGTCAGGTGAAACTGTTAACTGACTCTCTACTGTTCTTTAAACTTGTAGTATAGCAAATACAGCAAGCTGCACAGAGATTATGAAATTCGAGGCTTGTTGCTAAATATAATGTATAAATTATAATCAGCCACTTCATTACTCTCCTTTGCCAATGAGTCAGAGTTTCATAGAACTAATCATAAGTTTTGGTTTCGAAGACCTCACTTAAATTATCCACTGAACTAGGATGGGAAGTGCTTCTAACTTGTTTTCTGATGTGTGGTGTTTTTTTTTTGTTGTGTTTTTTTTGTTTGTTTGTTTTTTTCATTCAGGTAGACTGTGACTATCAAATCTATAGCTTTCTTTTTGCTTGATGCTTTAAAACTGTTAAAAAGATTTCAATCAGGTTACGGGTAAAATGTAATTACAACTTGTATATGCTATTCTGCCAATGAAATTTTTTATGTTAGTAAGAAACTGTTCCAATTTGGAGGTATCCAGCTCTTTGGTTTGGAGGGTTTCTGTTTGTTTGTTTTTCCCAAAGCCGTTACCTCTTTAGCTTCTGATTTGTAGGTCACACTGGGGCAGTAAACTAAAATCAAAATAGTCGTTTGAAAGCTTTTCTTTAGCTCTGCTTCATTTTTTGTGGCCATACAGTGTTTTCTGTTTTTCGGTTGTCTTAAGATGGAATTGGTTTTTGACTTTGAGCTAGAATTTTTTTGTGACAGAGCTCGTGGATTATAGCTAATGCTTTAATTCTTCCCTGTGAATCTTGCCACAGCAATGCAGGGTGTGCAATGAGACTGAATGGCACTGCGGGCCCGTTGGCCTGCCTGACCAAGAAGGTGTTCGAGACGCCGACTTTGTGCTTTACGTCAGTGCTCTCACTACTGAGAGGTGTGGCCATGAAAATATCATTGCGTATGCAGCCTATTGCCAGCTCGAAGCTGAAATGGATAGGTAGGTCTTCCCTATGGTGTTTTTTTTTTTTTTCCCACTTTTATTTTTTTTAGGAGTTTATATGAAGATTTTGTTTGCCCGTGTTGTGTGTAATATGCAAAAATAGAAGTGTTACAAATGAAGAAGTAAAGCAATTTCTTCAGTGGCTAATAAGTATGTAATATATTTGAACTGAAGACAAGCACTGTATTCTTATAAAACCACAGAACAGATAATCAAATAATGTTCAACTCATAAAGCTGCAGCATGTAAGTTAAGGCTGTTTTGTCCAGACTTTGACAAGATGCTGTTTCACAGATGTCTATTTCCCAATCTATAGAAGAATGGAGGTGGACTGTAGTTATGTTTCTAGTTCAGTAGTAGTTGTTGAAACGGGTATTGGGTGTATGATGTCCTACCTAAAATTCGGTCCTCATACTGTTATCACTAATTTTATGTAGAGTACTGAAGATATATAACTCGAAGACATGCATTTATACATTTTTTTTTCTCCAAAAAACATTTCAACGATGAAGTAGTAACCTAGTAACAGTCTTGTTATGTGATCTGTAAGTGATGGAGGGAAATTGTTTGGAAGGACCTATTTCTAAATTAGTCTTTTGTGTGCATTTATTTTTAAATCCAGTAGAAGGATTAAAAGTGTTGCTTTCTGCTTCAAGTGAATATGATTTGAATTGTCTGGCATTTCACTGAAAACAGCTTACACTGTCTTGCAGGCCAATAGCAGGGTATGCTAACTTGTGTCCAAATATGATTTCAACTCAAGCTCAAGAATTTGTTGGCATGTTGTCTACAGTGAAACATGAGATTATCCATGCCCTGGTAAGGCTTGATGCTATAAAATGCTTTTGTAGAAAATTGTGATTGCTTCCTATGTTCCTCCAGCTCACTGCAATAGAGAAATGTTGTGTGTAGCAGTGGGGGAACAAATCTTTTGTGTTTCCTTCAGCTCATCTGCTAATTGCCTTGAGGTGTAATATACAACTTGTCCAAGGTTTCTGTTTGTCTGATTTTTAACTTGAAGGGTTTCTCTGCTGGACTGTTCGCATTTTATCGTGATGATGATGGAAAACCTTTAACAACAAGATCCATGGACGGGCTTCCTCCTTTTAATGAAAGGTGTGTTACTTATGTATGTGTTTATTGGACCTGTCAATTCTCCCATTGTATTGAAAGATATTTCCAGCTTGTTTTTTTTCCTTAGAAATATTCTTGCAGTCAGCCTATTGAAAATCCAGCCTGATTCCTTTATTGGAATGCTCTGCCTTTATTATGTTCAACATTATTTACTTCTTTTTTAGTATTTTATTGCATTGGTGTTAAGTACTTGAAATATCCACATAAATAAAAACTAAGAGAGTATTTAATTTATTAGGAGACTTAAGTGTTAGAACTACTCATGCTCAAATGTCATTGCTCCTCAAACACCTTACTAAATTGAGACTTATTATTTGCAATACATTAATGTGCTTGATATTTATTTAAGGCTTGTATATCATTGAAGATGTATCACTATGGAGAAGTAATAGTACGTGTAGTCTGCTGCATGATTTTTCTGGCTTGTTACTGTGTGAACAAATTGCAAGTGTTGGGGAAGGGACCTTTTTTTTGGGACAGGAGGAGCACTTTTATTTCACTTTGATGTTACAACCTTGCAACAATATTCCTTTAGACTTTTTTTGGAGATAGAAGGATAGAGAAGAGTTTTGTTTGTTTTGTTTTTTCTTCACATTATTTTTTGTAAGTTTTTAAACTATTATTCTTTTGTTACAGGTCTAATAACTGTAGAAAAATCTTGAATTTGCAGATTTATTAGTAATTTCCTCATACCTTGACTTACTAAATTGGAACTGGGTGTATATATAAGAAAGAGAAATACAGAGTTTGATTCTCTCTGATTATGGAGAAGACTTTATTTCGCATTAGTCTGTTGAGAATATCTCTAACTCTGGCATTCTTGTTACAGTCTAGGTTTGTACGAGTGGAGCAATAAGGTGGTGGTTAAAGCTGTGAGGCTATGGGATGTACGTGGTGGCAAAATGCTGCGCCATGCTGTGAATCTTCTTATAACGCCTCGTGTAGTTGTAAGTATAGATTAATTTAAACTTTGACCTTTGTATGCCCAGATTACTGTCTTTTAAGAAGTAATGACCTAACACGGAATACCCTCCCTGCCCCCCCCCAAAACAAAACAAAACAAAACAAAAAAAACCCCACAACTTTAGGTATAATCAGATTGGGATAAGATTGGGATTCTTGCCAAGTTGCTCTACTGTATGTAGAGCAAACTTAATTACCTGTGGTTTTTGAAATATTGGTCACACAGATCAAACTGGGGAGATTTTGGCCTGGCAGTGCCTATCTGGCAAACTTTGGGCTCCTGGCTATAAGACCAGAGCAATATTGTGATACCTTTTAAGATTTTCAAATGTTCTACAGAAAAGTTTCCTATGCAGAACTGTAGTTGACATGTACTGCTTGCTAGTAGAAAAATATTTTTCTCAGAAATGTTTGACAGAGCAGTGTTGCATGTGTTCATATACTGTTACTTTTTGACATACTATTTTGTGTGTATGTTTTTTTCCAGATAATTTTGTTGATGTTTTACTATTTCCAGGAGATAAGTAGAATAATTATCAGGCTTAGTGTTGTGGGATTTGCTATCTTAGTAGACCAGTCAATAAAAGAAGTGTTTTTTATTCAGAGGGAAATAAAACAATTTAAAAGGAAATGCTGAAAAATTTTTGAAAGATATCTCTGAGAAATGCAGTGAGTGTGGCTCTTTGTTTTGAGAGTTGTACTGAAGTGTTTTCTTTGTAGGAAGAAGCTCGGAAACACTTTAATTGTCCAATCCTGGAGGGAATGGAGCTTGAAAACCAGGGTGGTATGGGTACCGAGCTGAATCACTGGGAGAAGAGACTGTTGGAGGTTGGTGCGAGGATGAGAAATGTGGGAGGACATTGAAACGAGGAATGCCCTTCACCCTGCTGTATTTTTACTTTTACAATGATATATGTAGGAGCCTTGAAAACCAAGATGTATCAAACATTGCTGAAAGCATCGTAAACCGTACTAACTTAATACTTAAATCTCTAATTTCTAGATACATTTGAGATGTACCCTCTTTTTTGGGGAAAGGTGGTATTCCTTTGAAACAACTCAAATTTGTCATCTTCTACACAGTAAATTCTTGAACATTGTCTACTCATTACCTTGATTTAATCTCTGTTCATGTATCCTCTTCCAAATTAACTTTATTTTTACTTATAGCTTTCTTTCTTATTACAGAGCTATGAATTATATGTTATGTTTGGCAGAGATACTTTATAATTATTGTTGTATATAGGAAGGTAAACCATAAAGGAAATGCTCCAGGCCAGAATTCTTTATGAAAATGAACTGGAAAAATATGTTGTCTTTGACCAAAATTGTTGCTTTTATTTCTTAATTGCCAGTCAGCCTTGGTGTGGTTCTAAAAACGCTTTTCCAGAACAAGCATTTTCTTCTGAGTACCTTGCTAACTGTAATTGGTAACTTTCAGAATGAAGCAATGACTGGATCCCACACGCAGAACAGAGTCTTCTCCAGAATCACCTTAGCATTAATGGAAGACACTGGGTAAGAAAATAATGTTTTTCGCTTCAAGTATGCTTTTGTTTATCACTAAATGTTATTTAGGACTGGTACACCTGTCCCACAATAATAAGTATTACTCCTTGCCTAATACAATGCTAATAAGTATGTTCTTTTTATTTTTTCAAACACTATTCATGCTTAATCAATTCATAAAGAACACACATTACAATACTTAGTTCTGTTTATAGTCTGTGTTTACCTTTTTTCTTATTATAATTCTTTCTCACTTCCATGTGACACATTGACTATTTATTCAGCTCTTTTTGCAGATAAGCAGCAATTATAGAACAAAAGCAAAACTCTCTAGCCTAAGATTTCATGTTTCTGAGTACAGAATTACTCCGTGGGGGTGTGTGTGTGTGTGTATATAAGCTCATTAGAAAAAAAAATTTGTTATGCCTTGTTCCTTTGCAGATGCATTGCTACTGAGCAGTTGAGCCATAAGCTTTTCTTTTAGCTGCTTTCATTGTGACTTGAAAAATAGTAAAACTATAAAATAGTTATGGAGAGAAAAGGGGTGCAACTGCTCTATTTCTTCTGCAGAAGACCTCACAGCATTGCATGAAATTCTCTGAATTGTTGTTTTATTTGTTAGCACACTTGTTTCTAAGTAACTGTCTTATTTCAAAATACCTTTACAGTTGGTATAAAGCAAATTACAGCATGGCAGAGAAATTAGACTGGGGACGTAACAAAGGCTGTGACTTTGTAATGAAGAGCTGCAAGTTTTGGATCGACCAAAAGAAACAAAAGTAAGAAAAACAGTCTTTGTTAAAAATATAGAGAAAATCCTGATGCTTGTTTGTGTTTGTCTTTTTTCAAATGCAATTCAATAAAAAGAAATCAAGGTAGATGCAGCATTCATTGTTTATCTGTCACAAATGTCTACAGAATATAGGCAAGAAGTGAGCACGCTAAGTATGTTAAAAATAGAAGTGTTCCAACCTATAAGTACCCATCTTTGCATGTAGGACTTATTTTCTAATAGGGCTATGCTTAAGGAGGAGAGAAGGGACTTGATTTTAAAAATGTGGTTTTCTTATTTTATGTGTTCTAACTGGAAGTTCAACCATAGCATGATGCACTACTGCACTGTATTTAAAGCAACAGAAGTAGATGATAACCTTCAGAAAAAAAAAGAAAAGCTTGAACTTTTTTTTTCCTTGTTACGCAAGCAATATCATTGAAGCCTAATGTGCAAGTGCGTTGTGGTTGCTTTCTGTTTGTGTTTTTTTTTTTTGGTTCCTGAGTGATACTCTTTAAATCATAAAGTTTATAACAAAGTAAATAGTTTTAATCAGCTTCTATATGAAAAAGGAATGTTTTTATGTGATTGTCTGCTCCCATTTTATTTCCCTGCATTTGGTCAATCTTGACAATTTCTGCTTAAATTACGGAAAGCAACTAGCATGAGCTAATGTGACTTTGTTTGCTTGTTTGTTTTTGTGAAGGAGGCAATTAATCAGTCCGTACTGTGACACTTTGAGGAGTAACCCTCTGCAGCTGACCTGCAGGCAGGACCAAAGAGCAGTAGCCGTGTGCAATTTACAGAAGTTTCCAAAACAGTTACCTCAGGAATATCAGGTATAATGGATCATAGTTTACCAAATAACTAAATATTTGCATTATTATGTTTTGTAGCCATATAATATATATTTGAATGTTTTGGGTTTTTTTCTTCTGAACTTGTAGATGACAATAGATACTGTGAAAAATCTCTTATTCTGAAAGAGAAATGCTTAATTTGTTGCACGAAGTCTGAAGACTTAAAAAATTGACATGATCTGAATGAAACAATAAGCATGTTGCTTCGCTCTTTGACTAAATTCCAGATGAAACAGTTGTGGTTTTTTTTGTTTTGTTTTGTCTTTTTAAAGGATGTCTCCCTGAAAACTTTTGTTTACCTGATCTGTTGCTTTGTGTTGCTGTGTACTAAGAGATTTGTTCTGTTCCATCTCGGAGGTGGCTGTTTGTGGGATACATTGTAGAAAAGCTTCGTGGGTGCTTTATCAAAAGCAACTGCACACTTGTCTGCAGAATCTGCTTCACTGTCTGTTTTATTTTGTAGTATTTTGACAATCTAAATGGAGTGCCAGCAGAAGACTTGCCTTATTATGGTGGCTCAGTGGAAATTGCTGATTATTGTCCCTTTAGTCAAGAATTTAGCTGGCATTTAAGTGGGGAATTTCAGCGCAGCTCAGACTGTAGAATACTGGAAAACCAACCAGGTAATTTTTCACACCTTCAGTGCGATATTTGAGACTGCCCTTCTTGATCTATTGCTCTGTACCAGCAGTTGCATTTAAGTGTAAGGTTCAGAAGAGAAGTTCTTCATGCTCTTTGGTGTGTTTGTTCTCGAGTTGTTGATCTGATCTCATTTCACTTGTCAGTTCCAATCCTTTGTTTTAGCCTCCATTTTTCTTAATGTACAAAATCAAGCAGTCCAAAGTAACCTTGGTTGATTCTCTTGCTATACACCTAACTAATTGCACGTGAACTTAGTTTTAAACTACTAGCCATGCAAAAGCTCTGCTGGGAGGAGAAGCACAGCACGACTATCTTGTGTTTAATCCCTGGATATTCATTTGATGTAAGAATCATGTGACAGCTAAAAAAAAAAAAAATAACCGCACATGCCCAAAATACAAGACAAAAGGGTGTTTTTTATTTTTATTTTTTATTTGTAATATGGCTACAGCTGGGGTTTCTTGCTTTCTCTCTCTCTCTCTCTTTTTTTTTTTTTTTTTTAGTGTCTTAAAAATAACACCACTCTCCATCTTTATAGATTTTTTGCTTAAAACAAGAAGCTTGGGGAATTGCCAGAGCATGAGCCTGTTTTGCAGAGTGCCAGAATGCTGTAGATTACTAACTGTCTTTAGAAAAAGAAGAGGGGGAGGAGGGGAGGAACTTGCAGGAATAGCACAATTCCCCCAGCAGTCTGGTCTGGCATTTCCTGGGGGCAAATATAACCCTATAGCCCTTATGAATAGGGCTATAAGATTCTACTCCCATTTTTTTCTCCCCACACCCTTTCTCACTACAGTATAATTCTCAGATAGGGCAATGGTCACAAGATGTGTAGATCTGAACTGCCAGAAAGATCCCAAAGGTAAACCTGAAATTGCCTGTGGAGGCATTTTCTAATTATGATAAATTTATTTAGACTTTCTGTTCACTTAGTAAATTTCAATTTAGCATATTCTTTCTACCTTAGATCCCACCAAAAACTACGGTGCAGAGAAATATGGACCAAACTCTGTATGTCTTATTCAGAAATCAGCTTTTGTAATGGAACAGTGCAGGAGGAAACTCAGTTACCCTGACTGGGGTAGTGGATGTTATCAAGTAAGTATGTTACTTTTTAAAAATAATAAATGAAAGAGCTCGATTAAAATATGACTGTTGGAGCTTTGTATTTTGATAATGTAAATGTTCTGCTCTCTCTTAAATCACTAGGTTATTTGATATGCTTTAAATATCTTCCAATAATATGCCAGTAATTTAGATTGTGCATCCAATTATGCGCACGGCTACTTAGAACACTCATGTGTTGCTTCCTGTGTCTCATCAATGTGATACTTCCATTTAGCTGTAGAGAAAGTACTTGTAGCAGAATCTTTTGCTTTGCATTAATCACACTTATTACTTATTTACTCTCTTTCCCCTAAGGAGCAAGCACTATTTCACACAATATTTCTATTTCTTTCTCCTCTTCTTCTGGACAACCTTGCTTGGAGGTGTCACTGAAGGTGGCATGACTCTGAAAATGTCATTAGCAGAAACATAACTTTATTCATTCTCAACTAGTTATCCTTATAATTGCATAAAAAAGGAAGGTCTTTAAGCATCATCAAGATAAGTAGTTGCTCTGAGCTCTTTAACATGCTTTTAGTTCATCTGTGCAGTAGGCAGTGTTTTTGACTCTCTGACATTACTGAACTTAATATTTACAAATTGAAAGAACTCTGAAACTCCATAATGTATTTTTGATAAATCTCATTGCAGAGCTGATCTTGTTTTTCTCTTTTAAGGTTTCTTGCTCTCCGCAAGGGCTGCATGTTTGGGTCAAGGACACTGCATACTTGTGCAGTCGCTCGGGTCAGGTATTAAGTGTTAGCATCCAGATGAACGGCTGGGTACATGTTGGGAATCTCGTTTGTCCGGCCTGTTGGGACTTCTGTGATTCCTGTCCTCCTGAGCGGGATCCTCCAGCTTCCAACTTAACAAGAGTTGCACCAGTTGGTAGGTGGCCTTATGATTTGACCAAGTGAAACTTAAGATAAAGTGTCTGCAAACACTGAAGGTTTGTGTCAGGTGCTAGAAAATACTGAATAGTCCAAGAGCTTTGTAGTGAACTGTTGGGAATCATTAACAGTGTTATTTGTTAGTGATACAGTGAATTCAATTGTGAATGCCTATATTGATAGGAGAGGGAAATATATTTATGATTTCCTTATGCATACTGGTATACATCTTCCAGAATGATGGGACAGCTCTGCCTGTCAATGGAAAAGGAAAAGAGAGCCTCAGCCTTGCTGTTCTAAGGATGGCTGAATGTGCCCTGTTTAATACCATGCAGTTGTACTTTTGTTTTGGGGATTAAGCACATGGCTTATCTGAGAAATATGTCTGAAGTAGAAGTGCTTTCTGACATATTTTTTCTGGTAGTCATCCTAGAGACCTTGCTTTAGCCTGTGAGGTTGCCAACAAATTGGGATCTGTTTTTTAAAGGCTATGTCCCTTCTTACAACATCTGAAAGCATCATCTTAGTGGAAACCATGTGCTTGCTTGTTGAATTTCCCATTGCCAATATTAATGCAGTAGTCCAGAACCCAAGTGGTAGGTGTCAGTTTGCTTTGTAGTGGTGTTGGTGGTAACTTAAAATATTTACCAGTAGTAAGAGAATTATCGTGAACTGATCACTTCTTAAAATGTCAACTCCTAAGAGAGAACAGTCTTTACAGTATTTCACACCAGTGGTTTATTTTTAAGCTTTTAAATAAGTCTTTAGTTGTTGAATGTGCTGTCTTTGCACATTTTTTCTAGAGAAAATATATCTGATTACCTGTATGTAAGACTCTTTTCAACTTCATATGTTTAGGATTTTTTTCTACCTTTTTCATTTAGTTTTGTTCTGTCTCAGAAATGGCAGTATTTCAGTGGCTGGTGAAATGGCTCCTATAGATTAGTTCTTACAAAAAATTAATATAAACTAGGAGATGTCAAGCTGAGGTCCAACATTTGCTTGAATTCATACTTGCTGTGTTTGAGGTTGTAGGGTTTGTTTTGTTTCCTCCATACATCTCTATCTGTGCAGGTTTGCATTTGCATCTCTTACTTTTCTTAACTTTTCTGGACATGTAATTATTTACCATAGGGACAAAGTGTTTCATATGGTGGTGTTTGTTTTTTCTCTTCCCTGCTCGTCTTAGTGTTCTATGGATTTGACCTCTATGTGATTTACAGTCATATAGATCAAGAGTATTTATAAAAGAGACTTTCCAAGAGTCTGAATTTGAAATGCATCTTCTCTCCAGTCATGTTAAATTTCCCCCTCTCTTCTTGCGATAGTCGTACATTTGCTTATTTTTTCTCCTAATTGCTATTTATCAAAGAAGCACAAAAATAATAGTAAGGGCATAATCATATTGTTTGGTTATATTGAGTTCCTATCCTTCAAAACAAAATGAATCAGTGCAAGTATTTCCCTCTTCTCCCGTGACCCTTCTTTTTTATTTTGGTTTTATATTTGCTATTCTTCTGTGCTTCTACCTGTAAAATTTAATACTTACATGTTGTTTTCTTTTGGTTTTGTCTTTGGTTTAGATTTATGCTCCTGCTCACCCAGTCTGGTTGTCACCCTCTGGCTCCTGATGGCCAACTTGATTCCCCTGCTAACGGGGATCTTTCTCTGCGCCTGGAGCTGAGTGTGGGGAAAGGAGGAGTTTGGAGACGGTGCCGTCGCTGATGCTGCACCTTTGCTGTGGAGCGAGAGCAGCTTCTTCCTTCTACGGGCAGCTGGAATCTGCTGACCCTCTTCTCTCCTGGCAAGTAGCAGTGCTGATAGGTGCCAGGGAGGCCTGGCGGCAGCAGCCAGGCCTTGAGAGGAGGAGGATTTACATGGTCATCTCAGTAAGTGCCGGTGTTTTCCTGAGTTACAACCTTTCATTTTGACACAGTAACCAGATCCACTCTGTTGACTGTGTTAGGTTATCTGGCAACTTGACGAAGGTTTGAAATGAGAACCTTTCTCTGTTTTTATTTTTCTTAAATACATCCTCTGTGTGACTGGTAGCAAAGCATCTTCAAACTGGAAATATACCTCAGTGGTTTAGTGAAAAGCCATGTGAAAATCAGTTGTGATCACTGCTAATAATGCAGGCCTGAAGTGGTGTGTGGTTTTGTTTTGTTTTTATCAGTTTCTAGACTTCAAGGTAGCGGGGGAGAAAGGAGGAAAAAAAAAATGTTTTGGGATAGCACACCAGTTGTTGAGAATTGCTTCCATAATTGAATTCTGCTTGGAGGCATCTCAGAAATCATAGTATTATATGGTAAAATGTCTAATTCTTGGAGTTCACTCAAACTTTATTAGATGCACAAAGTCGGTTTTTATGTGTAACCAAATCCTATTTTCAGTTAGCATGTGCCAGTTCTACTATGAAACTTTGTACATCAAATATTTAAACATTCTCAGAGTAATTTGCTAAGGAAGTGCATTTCAGTCCTGAAACACAATCTGCGAAATTGGGGAAAGGTTTTTATTATTTTATATTTATACACATATATTAATATGGTGACCATTCTGTTGAGGGGGAAAATCAGTAGTTGTGGCTGCCGTAGTCTAACAGGTACTGTGTTGATTTCTTTAGGCCAAAACTAATTTGTTGAATGTATGAAGAACACTTGATCTGTCTTTTTCCCCCTTTCTTGGTAATACAGTTGGTATTGCACATTTTGGACCCCACAAGGGCTTGCTACAAAACTTATTCCTTAATGTTCAAAATCTGCTAGGCTAAAGGAATGAAGAAAACCTTTCTCCTTAAGAACAGATACTCTTAGGACCCTTGTAAGGATGATGACTTATGTTTCTGACCTTGTGCCCAGTGCACTAGCAAATGCAAATTTAGGGATAAAGAAGTTGTTTCTCTGCTCTTTAAATGTGCTGTGATATTAGAATTGTAGGCTCGATCCTATTCTAAAATGAAAGGTAAATGGAAGTAAGAGGCAGGGAATAACATTTCTTTGGCTGCAAAGAAATTAAACAGTTAAATAGTGGAACTTCTCATTGAAGTCATGAGTACAGTAAAGAAAATCTTTTTGTCTGGTGGTTGTTTTTTTTATTTTATTTTTTGTGTAGAGAGACTTGTGACACTGCCGAGGTGAGTAAACTTCAACCTGTAGCTGTGTGGAGGCATCATTACTGAGAGTACCTTGCACTGGGCTAGTTCCCCTTCTTGCTGCAGGTCATGCACTTTTGCTTTGACTTTTACAAGGCCTAGGTTAGCCTTAAGTAAGTGTTTCTAAGAAGCAATATGAATTAGGGATCAAATGCTTTAAATGTGTACGACTTGGAATTAAGAAACACTCAAATTCATCAGCAAACACTTATTACTTTAATATATGCACAATCCAGAGCTGGTATGAAATGATTCCTTGGAAACTTAGAAAGGTTTGAGAAGACAACCTAGGGCCCAGAGGTAGACATTTTATCTTTCTGTCTGTTGTGCAATAATACAATTTAAATGGTATCAGTCAAAAGCGATGCTTTTTATACTTGAAAGAAATCTCTGGTTATTTTTTCTTACTGTAAAATATTTGCACTGTGTGAACTTTCTGGTTAACTTTGTAACTGTTGAACTTTTTTACTGGTGTTAATTTATTGCGCTTCGTATTTGATGTGCTGGTCTCCTGTCTGTATAATTGTGAGATTTGTTATATTTAAGTGAATATTTTTATCTTCTGCACAGTTGTTTATCTTGAGGGTTTTTTTTTTTTTTAATTCTCTCTTCCTGAGAACTAACTGAAATCTGAGAGATGGCTTAAGTCAGAGCTTACCTACTTCTGAGGTGTATACTATAATTAAAGAAAGAGGCTGCAGGTCCATTGTACCGTTGAGGAAAATCTGTCTGCTGCTCAGTTTTCCTGGGCAGATTCACCACTCCCTGCCGAGTAGCTGCATTAGTGAATCCAATGGAGTAAAACTGTCACTGCCTTAATAATCTGAGATCTCGGTCATAATTTCCCAGAAATGCAGCCTGCAAAATCTGGCTGTGAAGTGCGGAATTGGAAGCGAATTTAAGGGTTCAGGGAGGCAGGATGGTCACTCATGGCATGCGGGACCTCATCCGTGGCTCCTGGAAGGAGTATGGAAGGAAACCTGACTACCTCACTTCTCTAGTCTCTGAGCTAAGCTTTCAGCCTGTCCTTGACTTCCAGGTCTTAAGGTGACTTCAGTAAAAACACATCTCAGGTTTTTAAGAGCAAAATGGATTTAGTAGGAAGCATAAGCCATTTTTGAGTGGAAAACATAAAGCAAAAAACTGTAGCTTAAAACAATCACTTTATGTAGCCTTAAGTATAATTTTTCCCAGCAGAAGGTGATGTTAAATATGAGGTTTGCAGGCAGCTACTTTAGGTTTCGTGAGGATATTGTGGCAGATCCATCATCTTGCATCTCTTACATGTAAAGGCTTTCAAACACAGCCAGAGTAAGTCTCTGTATGCATCAGATCTTGTGGCATTATTTCCGGGTGTCTTGCTGCCCTAAAGATAAATGAACTAGCTCGTCTGTAGCCAGAATATTTTGAGTATATAAAATCCGCAGTTTAGTTTGTGAAAGTATTCCCTGTTCGATTATGAAAGTAAATTAGTTTTCCAGTCTTTCTTGAACTCAGCTGTTCAAGTCTAACACTTTTAATTAAACCTGAGTCAAGTCATATTTTAGGAACACATTTTTCTAGTTCTGTTTCAAAGACTTATGAAGAGGAAAGAGCTGTTGGCTGGTATGCTTTGTATGCAGTGAATAAAATTACATAGAAAAGCACGTAGTTCATTCCTCCTGAAATGAGTTGAGATTTTGGGAGATTATCGTAACCTAGATACAGGTCAACTTATCAAAAGAGGATTTTAACTCCTGTTGTGTGACTGTAGGTGCAGTGTAGCTCATTGTTTGTGCACTAGTAAATTAGGAAGACTGATGCAATTTAAAAGCAGATGTAGTAACATTCCTTTACTTGTAAGGGGGTTTTAAAACCTTCCTGTTCTGCAAATTTCTGACTATATTTCAGTAGAGAGGGAGGCCTGTGTCCCTTTCTTCCTCACCCTTCCTACTAATGTCTTTTACCTGAGCAGTTCGTGGTCTTTCCCTTACCAAATGGAGCAGCTGGGTTGTGCTGAGTTCAAGGCGTCACTGCTTGTGTGTGTTGCACTAGGGGTTGGAGCCTAGATGGTGCATTAAATGATGGGATCTTACAGTAGCAGACTTCCAAAATGCAAATGTTGCCTTTTTAATGTCAAGCTCGCCCTGGAGATAAGCGCAACACTTGGGAGAGACCTGGATGACCCTAAGCATGTTTATTTTGATATGGAATGTAAATAGAAAACAAACTATTTTATGTAGATTTTTGACTGGAATTGAGATATAAGGGCTAATTTTTGTTATTTATGGAGTAAAACTTCCTTATTTTACTGTGTAAAAGTTTGTCATCCAGCAGAGGAAATAATTCTGTTCATCAATAAAACATCTATAGAAAACCCACTTTTCTTGTCCTTTTCTTTTGAACACTGATGTTAATTGCAAAATAAAGCACAAAAAAGAGCATTATTACAATACTTATGAGAATTTTGAAAAATGAAATTACATCACATTTATTGATCACTTTATTATTAAACAGATACTTGATACACTTTGAATATAAAATGTTCTGTATTCTTATATTATCATATCATAAATGACTTTTCAGAAGTTCAGTCTGATTGTAAATGAAAGAGGTTCCCAAATTCTCTATCCCACCATTGTGGTTTTGATACTTAAGATTATCTGATATTTAAGTCTTTTGTTTACTTGTTTTACCTTAAAAAGGAAGATGCTGTGTGGGCATTTTGTTTTGTTTTCCAGTGCTGTATAAAAGATCTAACCACGTGATTCCTATTTCAGCTGAAGGAGCATCTGCACTGCAGAGTCCAGATGTGTTGTTAGCTGTGACCTTCCACAGGTGGAGAGCAGTTCTCCAGCCTGGGCTCTTCATGTGGACCAGCTTCATTGCTGTTTGGCAGAGGTCTGTGATCTGTCTCTACAAACACAATTTCTGGTGTCTTAGCATGCTTTGCAGGCTGTAAGACTTAAAAATATACATTCATATATATATTACTCTGATAAATGTGAAAGATGTAACAACATTCCTCTAAAATACAGAGCAAAAAAGATTCTATATATTTTTTTTAATGTCAGTAAATACACTAAGACTAAAAGAGCACTTTTCCTACTAATATTTTAGAGAATAGAAAAGAAGCAAAGCAAAAAAGTAGATTACTCTGACTTTTGTTCATCTCTTTCTCTAAATACGAATCTTTCAAATGGGTATTAGAGCATACAAAACATGCCACTGTTCATTTCATAGATGGCTTTTAACTCTGAAAAACATCAGGTATGTGAAGTTACCCAAGTACCGCTAGCAGGTTTTAAAAGTTTAGTTTCTAAAATAAATGCCATCAGTAGCAAAATTAAAAACTGGTACGTGTGCCAGTTTGTGTCTAAAATTCAGAAGCAGATAGAGGCATCTCGCTTCAGGAGGGTTGAGTTTGATGCTTTGCTTAATGTACAGCAGGATCAGGCCATTAGTCTCTTGTAGTCCCTGGAAAGATGCATGGAGTTGCATGGTTTGTGTCCAGTGGTTTTCTGGAGGAGTTTAAAAAGCAGCTCAGTTTCAAACTTTATAG